CGTCGTGGTGTTTAATGCGTATGTTCAATATTTGATTTTCATTCCAAAGATTTTCATATAGTAATGAAAGAAAGTTTTTTACTAGACCAAATAAAAGTGCCAATAATAATATTAATGGCTCAAATCTAAGGATCATTGTCTCCATAATGACGAATTTTATTACTGGTTCTATGGAGAATGTTTTGACGGAAAAAGCTCAGATATCTGTACTGGTTATAGTCTATGATACTTTTAATTTGGAAACGTTATAGTATTTAAGTGTTAAAGACAGGTCATTTTTCAGTTCTAGAATACATATACATGAAATTTCATGATTTACAACGAACGAGTGTCATGCCGAGTTTACGTACTAAAATGGGAGAGCATACTGTCCATGGGCCAAGCATATTATGAATTATTCTTGAATGTTATGAAGAATGTCTTAAATAGTATGAATAATGTTTTACCTATGAGGGAAAATATCTAATAAAACATGAGTTGTGTCTTTTGAAGTGTTACATTTTTCCCTTCTGTTATTTGAATAATATGTTTGGTATGAGCATAGACTTTTAACACCAGTTTTATTACATGAAAACTATTATGTATATCATCTTGTCTGCCGGCATTTCTATCCGACTTCCTCCTTTTCAGGCCCAATAATTAGTGGTTGATGTCCTCAGGTGAGGTGTAATTTCACCGTGACAATTGATATCAAACATTGATTCTAATGTCATTGCCTCCCGTCGCTGATTCCGAAATCGTAGGGGACTGCCGATATAAAACAAAAAATTGTGTAAAAGTAAAAAAATAACAGAAAAGCAAGCAAACAACCTTCCACCAGCATCGCATCGCTATCTTTATCAGGCAAACGTTTTTGTACCTTAGTACATAGACATAAGTATAAGTGGTCATGTAACACTTTTACGAAATCAACATTTTTGTTTAGAAAATATGAAAAACAGTCGGTTTACTTGAATAATGAGAACTAGTTCAAAGCTATGCCTTGCCATATATGATATGAATATGTTTGAAAAACATACGCCCGCAAACCAAACAACTATGACTGATTAGAGGTAGGTTTTTGTTACAGAAGAGACTAATGATGAATGTCTGTTTTAAGAGTATCATTGGTCTGAAATATTTTTTTTTTAAATATGTTACCTCTTTTGCCCTTAAAAATAATAAATTTGTAAAACAGATAAATTATAATGACAGGTGACGGTATATTTCAAATAGTTTCTTCATACGTCCTCGGGCTAAATAACAGGGTATATTAGAGGCCAACAATCCAGGCAAGTTGTCAGAATTCATTGGGGCCCGTTTGTTACCGATTTTTAAATAACGGGAAAATGAATGTACATAAAATTTTGTTTGGGCCGTTGTCATGGAAAATTTTTTGTTTTGGGAAAATTGAAAGGTATGTGAAAAATATTCACCTTTTTGACTTTTTTTTCTTTTTTTTTAAATTTTTTTCCGGAAAATTTATGATACGTTCAGCTTTAATGTTGTTTGTAATCATATTTTTGATTTCTACATTGTTTTTTAATTTAAATCTTATTTGCATCGACCTTTGTAAATTGCAGGACAACCTTTTTTTATATTTACTTTACCCACAACTTTTTAAACGATGAGCAATACCAACTGTACTTCGTTAATCTCACATATTTTCGCGGGACAAAAATTTATTGAAATCAATATTTTGAACTGCATCGTTTAGTTAAGCATTCAAGTATTTTTGCTCTTTGCTCTTATTATTCTACAACTTTGCACTTCACTGCTGCGGGCACCGGGAGACACCACCAAAAAATCTAAAATTCCCTATTATTTGAAATTTCAGATTTGAATCTGAGATAAAAATCCTTCTAGTAGATTTCACCGAACCCTTTTTATTTTCTCCATTTTTTATATCCTTTTTCTTTAAAAAGCATATTTATCCCATAGGTGCAAAATTTAAATATGGTATTTAAATTTAAGCATTCATTACTACATTACTTTAAGCTATAGAGTAAAACTCTAAATATTATTAAAGGGGGAGGAAGGAATGTTTTTTTTCCTTTCCTCTTCTCAAAATCATTGTACAATATGAAAATCCTCGAATGATATAGAATTCTCTCTATTGCATCAGAATAAAGCAATATTGATTTAATATAGTTATGTATAAATGATATGGTTAATACAGGTTCAATTGGAATCAATGTATTTGTACTGATTAATATGGTTTCATATGAAATTACTGTATTTGTGCTGATTGATATGGCTTCATTTGAAACTATTGTATTCGAACTGATTAATATAGTCTCATTCAAAACAGTTGTATTTGTACTGATTAATATTGCTTCATCCAAAACTACTGTATTTGCACTGATTAATATTGCTTCATTTAAAAATTATTATATGTGTACTGATTAATGTGGCTTCAATTGAAAGTATTGTATGTATACTGATTAATGTGGCTTCAATTGAAAGTATTGTATGTGTACTGATTAATATGGTACTGGTACTGATTAATATAATTTCGGGTGAAACTATTATATTGGTACTGATTAATATTGCTTCTTTCGAGACTGATTTGTTGGGGTTTTTTTGGACTGATTAATAGGGCTTCACTTGAAACTTGTGTATTTGAACTAATTATAAAGTTTTTTCATAGGAGACTATTATACTTGTACTGATTAATATGGCTTCATTTGAGAATATTTGTTTTATACTGATAAATATAGCTTCATTTTGAAACTAGTGTATTTGTACTGATTAATCTGACTTTATCTGAACCTAGTGTATTTGTACTGATTAATATGGCTCATTTAAAACTATTGTATGTGTACTGATTAATTTGGCTTTAATTGAGATTATTGAATTTGTATTGACTATGTACTTTGATGCATGATTACAGTCAACCTGTGACCAGGGTCTTACAGAGGAGAAATATAACATTTCCTCTATAGACAAGAAGAGGTCTTTATCAAGAGAATCCTCTATCTGTTAAGCACTGTAGGGTTAGTTAGGGTGGCTTTTGTCATAAAAATGAATAATTAGTTAGGTGGTTTGGACACAGTTTTGACTGTATATTGATTGCCAATACATTATATTGACCAAAAAATATTTCTGTTACATGTTTTGTACAATATGGGAAATAAAATGTTAATTACAAAAAAAAAAAAAATTTTGCTCTTAGCACTGTTAAATTTATAAACTACTAAAATACATAGAGAAAAAAATATTTATTTGCATGAAAGACTTTAATAAGTGAAATCAGAAAAGTCTAATCCCCAGCAAAAACAATGTATGATTTTGTATTATTTACAAGTTATTAAAGTAGCTTTCAGCTTTTCTTTTCTGTAAAAAAAGCAATACTTTGTTGTTTCTTACTAAATGTTTCAGTGATTGTATCCGGAAAAACATCATATAACTGTAAAGCCGGCATAACGTTCCGTGAGCTATTTATAACGTGTCTCTAAAAAATAGAAGATCGGGAAACGAATTGTCCGCTTTACTTATTTCGATATATATTGACAGCGGACCGTCAGGTTATATGTATCAATTGCTTTCTTTTGTTTATGTATTTTACTGTCGGTAAAGGTCCTGTCACACTAGACTGCGTTGCACGTCGTTGTCAAATGTAACAAAGCGCCGCGAGATCGCAATAAAAATGTTTTTTGCAGCGATGTTTGCGATCTTACTGCGCTCACCTCAGTGTTTTTAGTTTCCTTTGGACACCGTGAGAACGCTGCTCTGATGTGACAGGGTTTAATTTTCTCTTTCCATCTTTATTCTATTGATTAGACAATGAATATATATTATAAAAAATAACATATTTGACATTAAGAAAAGCTAAAGGCCTCTTTAAGTCCTGAAAATTTTATTGATTTAAAGGGTATAAAGGTATATTTGTATGTGCATATCATATGTTAACTTTTGAAGAAGAAAATGTACATGTGCATTTACATATAAAACTATTGATTTTTTTCTTCTAAATTTAAAGTCACCATCGTTACTTATTTGTTATTGTTTTACCCCTATAGATGATGACGATGACGACAATTATGGTGGATATGTTGTTCCAGTAGGAGGACGTCCTGGAGGTCGTAGAACTTTCACCTACAAGTCAACTTCCAAGAAGACTAGCTTTAAGCATAAAAGCAGTAGTCATCGTTTCCGTGTAACCCATAATACCGGGAAATAGCTAACACGGTAGCTAACATACAACTGCTGGTTTCTTTGTCAAAACTTTTGGAGTATCTCTCGTGCATCTTTATTGTAAGGTATATTCTACTTGGACAAATATTTCAAAAAACAAGCTTGTACATTTGTTTGTGATATGATATTAAAAAGCGTAGTTTACCAAATGTGTTTGTGATATGAAATGATTCCCTTGCACACTATGCTCAAATAGATTTGAATAGTAAAATTTAATAAATGACAATGCAACGTTATGTGTGTTACATAGTAGTTCTACAAATTGCAATTAAAGTAATAAGATTAAACTCATATTTTATTCTTGTCCTCGAATTAAAACACCAATAATAATAATTCAGAGTATTATATTCGAAAAAAGTAACATTGCAAGGTTTGACTTTTCATTTAGCTCTCTAAATCCATCAATTTAATATGTTTGTTCTTTCTGCAGAAGGTAAATTATATTCATTTCTGAAGCTTTATCTGTCTTTTAGTTAAGAACTGTATTATTTTTTTTTTAAATAGATTTATTTTGATATACTTGATCATTCTGCTAAAAGATAGTATTCCTTTATTTTACAAATAAAATGAGTTATTAGTATAAATCAAGGGAGTTAACTCTTACAACGTAAATCGATTGTTGAAATGCAAGTTATTGTTCTTTCCTACACTAAAGTAACTGATTAAGAAGTCAAAAATAAAAATTCTAAATGAAAGTCAGTATAAAAACAACCTTCTGGATTAAAATGTTCTTAACCAGTGCATCTGCTAATGATCAGCTAAAATACCATTTTTTTCAAATGAATTTTTTTTATTCTATTAATTTATACAAAATATATTCTGTTAGAATATTCATAATTTAAACAATCAGTAAGTTTGTACACAAGAATTTCGTTCGCCTTAAGATGGCCATGAGAAATATACATGTGCAAATCAGAGCTTATATTTAGACCTTGCGGATGAACCAGTCCGTGTTCTGACGTCACGACATGACGTATGAATATCCCATCACGTGAAAACAAGGATATCCGGCTATTATAATGGTCGGCTGCAAATATATCACCGTATTTGTTTGTACTGACACCATACGGGCATTTAAATTGTTGCTCTCCTTTTCCAAACGACCCAAAAGACCGTATAAAATGACCTTCTGGGTCAAATACTTTGATCTTGTGATGTCCGCAGTCGGACACGATTATCTCGCCGGTTTTTGAAACGCATACATAACGCGGCGAACTAAAACACTCCTCAAGTATAAATGAATTTCCAAGAAAGCGAATAAAATTTCCGTTTCTGTCAAACATTGATACTTTATCTATCACTGAATCACATATAATGAAATTACCTTTGCTGTCGACAGCAAGGCCAGTTGGGCGAACAAAATATCTGTGACCAAAGTCAAAGATGTATTCCCCTTTCATATTTAACAATTTCACGCATCGTTCTTTACATGACGTCACCGCAATATTGCCGTCTGGAGTAACTGCTGTTGCCCAGGGCTGTTTTATTTCGTCTGGTGCAAATATGGTAACGGATGCAGTACGGTGACTGCAAATTTGTACACGGTCGTTGATTAAATCAGAAATAAGCAGATCTCCGTCTGAAACAGTTGTGATATCCTTGGCATCTTGAAATTCACCAACCTCCCTTCCTTTTTTTCCAAATGCGGACATGAAAGCGTCGTGTTGATTAAGTTCCGATTCCTTGAATATATTATTGACGTAACTGTGCTCGTGTTTTTCATATTTATCTATAGGGGATGTTAACAAACTAAATTGTGTACAGAATTCTTTTGTTTGTTTACTTTCAATTTCTTCGTCGTCGTCGTCTGAAATGAAATAACACAGTATCGGTATATAATGCATGAATCAAACATTTTCAATATAACACTTGATGTTAAATTTTTACAAATTGTACCAACAGTTTTAAGGAGTGGATAAAAACAATATGAAGTGGTGCTTTTCTGCAAATGAATATATTTGTAATTTCTATCAAAGCCAAAATATGTCAGGAAAATTAACCTTAAGAAACATACACATAGATTTCAACACAAGTTTTTAAAAATCAGTTCAGGAAATGGTGTACATGTTTTATGCAATGAATGATTGATTTTGCGGTAGTGTAACCGTATTTTACTGCGTTATCAAGTCTGTAAGAGTCTTTTTTCATATTTTTTTAATATTTCGGATAATTTTCGTAGATTTAAACTGCCGCGTATATGTAAATTACTTTCTTCACTTGACAATATTTCATTTTTTATTAACAATTAGTAGCATGAATCTGGAGGCATGCTGCTAAAACGTAAATAAGAAGCATCACAATTACTTACCCAAACTTCCAATGTCTTCACATATACTATCTCTGCTTTTCCAAATAGAATCCAGTGTTTCTCTGCGATCAAAGTTACGTTTTATAGACATGGGGTCATTGACGTCTACAGGCTGATTATACCTCCATTGGTCAAAATATGATGAGGTCCTTGCTGTTTCTGGACAGCTTGTCTGTCTGTCAAATTGTTTCTGGCTTGACATGCTAAAGGACGCTAAGCCGACGAAGAATGCCTGAAATATCAAAATATGTAGGTTTTTATGGGTTTTTTTATGTTTTGTTTTTTTTAGTTGGGTTTTTTGTTTGTTTTTTTTTTTTTTTTTTTTTTTTTTTTTTTTTGTTTTTTTATTGTTTTTTTGTTTTGTTTTTTTTGTATACAGTTGCTGATTTGCAACGAAATATACATTTAGAGAAGAAATTGAGGAATATCAATGCAAATAAAAAATAATCGGATCAAAATAATGATCAATATTAGGATCAAGATCATTATTTTGATCTATTGTAAAATATCCATATCTTGTAAAATAATGATAAGATTATTTCAAAATTTTATAACCGTGCTATTTCAAGTTTATTTTTTATAAAAAAATAAATCAAAATCATACTGAATATTAAATCAACGAGAATAAACGATGGACAATATTTGAGATTTTATTTTTGATTTTGATCTTGATCCTGTTTAACACGGGGCTTGCATCGGTTAATTACCAACACTTAGTTTCAACTAGCTTTGCGTAGTACACACGCCAATCCCAAACCCAATCAAATAAAAAATTGGGAGTTTATTTTTGGCGTAGAAATTCGGAAAACATTTTTTTTATGATGACACGTTGTTTGGGCCGGGGCTCCCCTTTTTTAATTTCCGATTTGGGAATTAAAACCCCAAAAATTTGTTAATTTTCCTTGGTCGTGGGTATTTTTGGTTTGTGAAATTTTTATAAAAATTTGATGTTTTTTTGTATGAGAAAGCCCCACGTAGGGGGATATGTTCGTGTTAAAATTTCAATATTTAAAAACAAAAAATTAAACAGCCAAGACTTATTTCTTTTCGGCTTTTTGTTTAAAAATGTTGGATTAAAACGAATTTTGTTTTTAAAAAAGATTTTTAACCATTTCCTTTTTTTTTTAATTCAAAACCCCCAAAAAAAGTTTTATTCCGGGGGAAAAAATTATCATTAGTTAATTTTGCATTTTTTCGGGTTTATGTTTCCGGGTTTTTAACCGGTTTTAATGTGTATTTTAATAAAATAAACCGGGACTGGGGCCCAAAAACCCTTTCCCAATTAAAAAAGAAAAACGTTTCCCGGAGGGGAAAACAAAAGAAAACATAAATTTACCCCCTTTTAGAAATTTCCTTTGGGGGAAATTTTTAAAACATTTTAGAAACTTGGAAATTTTGATTTTCCTTAAAAGGGAAAAAGAATTTTTTTTAAACCAAAATATTTAATTTAACGGGCTAGCGAATCAGTTTTTGCACCGGTTTTAAAATTTTTTTGTTCTAAAATTGTTTTTAAAAAACCGCCCCCGGTTTTAATTTTTGCTGGGAATTTTGTTATTTTTGATTTACCCTATTTAACAAAAGAAAAAAATTTTTTCCCTTCAAATTTTTTTAAATTTTTTCGTTCATTAAATTTTAAAATTTAAATTTAAGGTGTGCACCGGGCGCATCAAAGAAAAAGTATAAAACAAAAAAATTGGGTTTTAATTAAATTAAATTTAACGGGGGGGGCCCCCAAAAAGGGGTCTGTTGGGGAAAAGAAGATTAGGGCCTTAATTTATTTTTAATTTAAAAGTGGGTTTCAATGAAAAGCAATTAATTTTGTTTTAAAAGCAAAGCCCCTTTCCGGCGAGAAACAGCCCAAAAAAAAGAAATTTACAATTTTGTTTAGGGTTTTGGGGGCCTTATTATTTAAGACCCCTTCATTTTTAAAAAAATTAAGGGTTGAAATTGGGAAAAAAAAATTTAAACCCAAAAATTTTTACCAACTTTTTTGTTTTTGAGTTTAAATTTTTTATATAAAAAAGAAAAAAATTTATTTTTTTAAAAAAATTTTCCCTTTTATTTTAAAAGAATAAAAATATGATAAATCAATTTCGTGAAAATGTGTCAGCTATTTTGTTCTCAAAAAGTTAAAATGTTACATTTAAAAAAAAAATGTTGTTAATAAGGCAATTTAAAATACATTATGTTTATTACATAAGGTAACCACTGACTACAGCTTGAAAAGATAAAACAGATAGAAGTTGATTAGATTGATGAACTTCGCTAGACGGAGAAAGAACAGCAGCCTCTTTACAGACAAAATTGACATAAAAAACTTAAATCATGTTTATTTTTTTTTGTACATAGTCAAGGCAAAAATAATTTGAAGAAACAATATTATATGCAATTATAGTATCCGTGTCAGTAACGTGGCCGCTTAAAAAATTAGATAATTGAAAATTGTTGTCATAAAGTGAAGCAAGAAAACAAAAAGTGAAGCAAAAAACATTACTTGTATCGCAGACCAAGCATAGTAACGGCAATAAAGGCGTTAAAACGATAATTCTAACACGACCCGCATTTTTCACTATTGAACATAGAAGAACCGAAAGTGTGTGTTATTATGCAATAGAGTCACTGTTTGACGTTCTATATTTAGACATGTGACGTATTTATTATACATGTGACGTAACCACTATAAAATCCGACGCGCTGACAATAAGTACGGAAACAAATCAGGCGCAATTTTGCTTAAAAGCAGGTACGGCAGCATTTTTTTGTTTATGTCGTGTTAGAATCGAAATAATATATCCAAATCGGTGATTTTATCGCTGGATAACATCACTGTTTGTCTTTCGGATGCGCATCATTATATCACTCGGGCTACGCCCTCGTGATATAATTCCTCGCATCCGAACTCCAAACAGTGATGTTATTGAGCGATAAAATCACAGTTTGGGATATATTATTTCTTAAATAAAGCGTAGTAGCGGAAAATGAAACGCTAAAATAGTGCAAAACAAATTGCGTTACAAGGCTTATTCACTAAGCGTTACTGCGCCTTTTCGCGTAATTTCGCCGTTTACGCGTTTTGATTGGCATTACTACACCCTTTTGACTGTATCATATTATCACACACTTCCAATATTATTATTTAACCTGACACTTTTAAGATTTCTTATTGCGTCTCTTTAGTATAAATAAAAAGGTTTTCTTAAAACGATAAAAATGCATAAAACAATAAACAGTTTTTTCTTAAAAAAATGTGACCAGCTCTACCTTTATTGTAAACCTTTGATATTAATCATTAAAATCAAAAATGCTAGCAGTCAGGTGATACTGGTAAATTAAATTAGAGTAAAATCTCGGCATTTATTAAAAGTTTCAATTCAATTTATCAGTTTGAATAAATAAATGTTAAAAAAGCTGTTTGGATATTTTTATTATAACACAGGTGGTTGTGTAATCAGAGTAATAAATCATTGGAAATAAATCATAAGATACAAGGTCTAGTGTTAAATTGCTTTTAATATAAAAATAAAAAGATTTCAGACAGGTGAGAACTATTTTGAACGATTTGTTTTCTAGTTATATTTAATTTAACAACGGTGACGTCTTCGAAAAATAGCGACATATATTTGGCACCCATGAACTTATGATTAAGAACAAAAGAACTCATTTCTGTGGTGGTGGTGGTTGTTGTTGTTGTTGTTGGTGGTGGTGGTGGTGGTGGTGATGTTATCGTCGTTGTCGTTGTCATCATCATTATTATCATCATCATAATGTCCGTGATCATCAACAACATTATCATAATCATCATCGTCATCATCAGTAAAAGTAAAAAATTGTGAGCCATCCTTATTAATTTCTTCGTCGATGTGTTCGGTTTAACCGCATATGCATCATGAACAAAATAACTTCACAAGATGAAAGATATAATAAATAACAAAAGAACATGCGTGGTTTGAAGATTGATGTTCAATTTCATACGTAAACTATTTTTAAAAAAACACGTGTTTTACTGACACACTGATACACATAGTTTTGTTAAATTTAAACAAAACATAATTTTCTCCCCGAAACAGATATGCAGTTATTTCTCATTAATATATTCTTTGCTTTGTCATTATTTATAAATCTAATAAAACAGATTTTGTTAAATAATCTAACGAAATAGCTGACAGTTACAGTCATTTTAACTCGTGAGAACTCGTTATGTTGCGACAATTTCCGTATCTTATAAAAATCGTTAGCTTCTATATGATTATGAGCCTTCTTAATTATAAATCAAAGAGCTTAAATTAAAGAAGTAATGGAAACAAAGTGATCTCTCGGAAGCATTAAACACAACAAAATTACAAGAGAATTGCAGACTCGGTTTGATTGAGACTGTACATGAGGGACAATGAATACGTGCAACATCCCTCACGCCCCCTAGCACCGGCTGAGCGTTACTCAATTCTCAACACTCAATAGTGCTGGCATCATCCCGAAGGACCAGAAAAATATAACAACACTGAAGACGATTTTCAAATTCTAGCAACTTTTAAAGAGCCATAAAAATCTTTGAAGGAAAACCTGTCTGTATGATATCATTAAAAAAGATTTTCTTCTCTAAATTCTTGCCTACTCTTCTTACAGACTGCGGCACACAACCGTACTGAACAGGCGAAGTATCTAATTTAGATAGACAACAAAAGATGTGTGCGGGTGTAGATGTCACGAAAAAAAGACATTGTTGATGTTGTTGTTGTTGTTGTTGTTCATTTAAAGTTGCATACTGGAGGTGACAGATGTGCCCGTATGTGCGAGCTCTTGTTGGATGGAATACAAAAACAGCATATGTAAAACTACTTAAAATATGATTTATTGAGTAAACTATAGCATAGCAGCTGGCACTGTGGGTCTAGACACGTGCGATAACGAATGATTAATGATTAAAGTCATGAAGAAGAAGAAAAAAACAGGAAAATTACGTTTCTTCAACATTATCACAACATTATTGTTGGAATATGTTATTTCTCAAACACTAACATCATTGAACACACATTGAAGTCACGCAGTGACACTTAAAAAACGTCTGGAATTAGTTATTTAGAGAGAGAAAATAAAAATCTGATATTCTTATCTATTTTCAAGAAGACATGTTCACTGTAATATATTCAAAATTTTGTTAGTTAAATTCGCATTAAAAGTTAGTTAAAGAAAGTCGGCTAAGGT